AACGATCTATTGTTATTATTATTAGTTCATTAATAGTATTTAATTATTATAATAATGTTCCTGATAAGAGATTCTGCATCTTTCTTTCTTTTTCTCTGCATCTTTCTTTCTTTTTCTTCTTTTTTGTTTTATTTATTTTTTTTTTTTTTTTTTTTTTTTTAAACATCTTTCCTCTCGGACGGATAGCCGAAAAATCTGTCGAAATTTCGATCCACGAGATTCTTATCATTTTTTATGTTCTCCTTTTTTAATAATTCGTCTCATTTCTTAACTGATTTTTTTTCGAGAATATGTGTCCATTTATTTCAAACTCGAGATGTTTCTTTTGTGTTTATATTGAGTTTTACAAATCTTTTTCTTTTTTTCTTTCTCGTTGTATTTTTTTTTTCTTTTTTTTTTTTCTTTTTTTTTTCAAAGTTTCGACATACTTCGACGAGACACAACCGACCTTAATTTATGACGTATTTTCATACGTTTTAAAAAAGAAAAAGCAAAAAGAAACGACTCGATATTCGAAAAGGTTGGTCGGTTATAATGACATAACGTCTAACACAAAAGGTGTGAGCGACGAAAGGATGAGAAAAATATTCTCGAAAAGTAAAAGGAAAGAAAGAAAGAAAGAAAGAAAGAATGAATGAATGAATGAAAGAAAGAAAGAAAGAAAGAAATATCTTACAAGTTTGGGAGACAAAATAACGCGAAGGTATCATAAAACCGGTCGATGTGGATTTAGGATATATCGTCATTCGATATTCGGAAAAAAGATACTGTATATGTAGTATTTAGATACTCGACGAATTTCTCTCAAAGCACCATATCGACGAATTTTGGTCTAATTGTAATTAAGTTAATAAGATTCTCTCCCGACACCATAAACATCGACTAATATCCATTACGCGTCTTGCGTTTATCATGAAAAATGAATAATTATGATATCGATACAATAGCTTTCACGTCAATTCCTTAAGATAATATTTACAATGCCTTTTCATTATTATTATTATTATTATTATTAATATTAATATTACTAATAACTATTACTATTATTATTAATATTATTATTATTTTATTATTATTAGTATTATTATTATAATAATAATTATTATTATACGTAAAACGACGCGAGAGAGAGAGAGAGAGAGAAAGAGAGCAGAAGATATTTCGGTAATTAAGTAAACTTGATCATTATCGTTGACTATTTCACTGAAAATGCGTCATCTCCTTGAATCTCATCGTATACCATAATACTAAGATAACTCGTCGTATACTTCTTCTTTTTTTTTTTCTTTTTACTTCTTTTTATTCTTCGTTTTCGTCTTCTCGTAAAACGTTCACCGCTATAATCACCGTTTATGACGAAAGTCTTGACGATCAAACGTATCATCTTTTGTCAGAGATAGATAACAAGATCGACTAGATTTTCATATTATTAAATCACGTTAATCTAATAATTATCGTTCTCGTAGATGAAATACATTGCAACTTTATCCTCTTCACATTTTCTTCTTCTATTACCTAATTTTTCCTTATTCTTATTTATAATATATTATATTATCGACATATATGTACCAACGGAAGCTTAATTAATTAATTATTGAATTAATTAATTACATCCATGAAGTTTCGTAACGACAAAATAATCCGCAAACAAACACTGATAATTTATTTCCTTTTTTGAAATCGCTTTTTGTTTCTTGCTAACGTCACGTGACGCGTCATCTCGTAACCAAAATGGCCGACTGTACGAGGAGTAGCGGGAAACTTTGAATAACTCGAAGAAGATTTCAGTACGCGGAGCTGTATTCCATACCATGAGTGTACGGTAATGGAGCCGATGGTGGTGGATGCGATTGCGGACTATACTGTTGCGAGGTATCCGTTGCTCGACGCCTAAGTCCTGTAATAATATGAGCACCTCTCCATCCCGACGCTTCGTCCGCATTGACTTCACCACCAACGCAAGATATACCACTTCCTCCTGCACCAGCTGCTGCCGATCCTCCACCTCCTGAACTCGAACCCGGTGAACCTTGCGCACAATTCAACGCCGAATTTAATCCTCCTCCTTGGCCACCACCAACCGAAGATCCTCCTGGTGGTGAACCCCGTGACGCCGAGACCTGTACGACTCCTGTTAATTTTTAATTTCACGTTATTATTATACACAAATGTTAACGTTACGTTAAATAATATTATTTTAAATATACAGAGTGCCCGAACATGTTACTTTATCGAGAACAATAAAATCAATATTGGTTTGTTAAATAGAATTGCAATATATTGTTTTTTGTTTCAAGATATGAAACTCTGATTATAGTGTTTTTGGTAAAGTATGGATCCACGAAAATGATACTATTGCTCTATATATAAATATCTGGTAAAAATAAATTTAGAATTTTTCTATTCGGTAAAACTATTCTTAGAATATCATGTTTATAATATGGATCGTTTATTATAAGAGTAATATAAATTTAGTTTTGAAACAAAATTGTGTATAAAAATACATAACTTTGATGATTTGTTAATAATTAATTAGAATTATTTGTTTTCTCAATTTGATTTCAAAAATGTACTTACACCAATTTTATAATAAACGATCAAAAAAAAAAATTGGTGATGTTCGATATTATAATATTTATATTCAAGAAAATAAAATTATATATAGATCGAATGATATTTTTTAAGGTATACGAATTTATATAGATATAAAAATAAAAATAATAGTTTGTTGTATACTAAATAGTAACAAAAAAGTATTAAATTAATATGTGGAATTTTACATATAAAATTCTACCGACAGTTAATATTCGAGACTCCCCTCATTCTCGTTTCGTTCGTTGTCCTGATAAGTACGATCCGACAATAACAACTCTCTACAACATTTAAGCATACGTTTCTTTTCATTTCAAAGAGGGGTAAGAATTATCAAATATTTGAATAATTCACATATTAAACGATTTTAATACTAAATAAAATATTCAATTAATAATATATTATATGTGTTTGGAAAAAAATATCAAAGAAAAAAAGGGCCGAAAATTAAATTTAATTCTTTCGTTATACGGCATACTCTTTGACATTAATATTTTTTCATATAAATTAGCTCGTACGTGCTTATCGTTGTATAGTATACGACTTCAATGTGGGTCAGTAATTCATGCAATGCTTCTGTATAGACGATTCATATAAAGGGATCGCAAGTAACTGAAGGGTTGAATCAAAATTCTTGTAAAACAAAATTAACCGATGTTTATTGAAATAAACTTGACGATATTCGTTGACCGAATATCACAAAGATGAAATGTCGATCTAGCAGGTAGCAAGGGAGAAATTTCTAAGGGTGCTTTCTTTCGGTAAAGATGTTCCGACTTGTACTGTATGACGATATTAATGCGGTAGATTCACAAAGTGCGTGGGTCGTGCTACCGAACACGAGTCATAAAACACTCAGCCCGCCGTTGGTGGCCACCACCGAGGAAAAAGAAGAATAAGAAGAAGAGTAGCTTGAAAACTCACGAAGGGAGAAACTTTTTTATGGGAACTCGAGTTTGCGGAGAGAAGGCTGCACCCCTTTTTCCGAAAGGAACTTACATTAGACGGGAAAAAAAAAGGAAAGAACGCGGGAATAGATAATAATCATGTTTTTCTTCTTTCTTCTTTTTTTTTCTTTTTTACTTTAGACGTCGAAGAAAAAAATGTCGAAACATTGTAAAACGTATTAAGAAAGGAGATCGATTTAACCCTCTATAAAATCTTACAAGCAACATATTATAACAAATTTTATTACGTTTCAACATAATAATCAATTCATGGGGGCTATAATAAAAAAATGTTATCGAAATATTTGATCTTAGGATACAATAATAGATCAAGAGAAATTCAATGTTAAGGAATATATTTTTATTTATATAATATTTTGATTTAATAATTAAATTGTGTGTGTGAAATGAATGTTGATGATAACGCAAAGATTCGGATAAATCCATTTTTGATACATATCAAGTATAAAAGTTATATTACAAATTTGTAGACGCAAAAGACAATGATTCTCAATCATATAAAAAAATTAAATGACAAACATGGACGATATCAAAAATTCACATAAGTCGAAATAATATCGATATGGATGGAAATGTAAAAAAAGAAAAAAAATAGTTTCAAAGTGGAACTCGAGAAAATTATTGGAGTCGAGCCTCTCGCGCTCTCTCGGTGTTAATTATCATTGAAAAGCGAAAAAAGATAGGTCTGCTCTAAAAGCTGTTTGCCCTAAGTATTATCGAAGAACGTAAAAGGCGAGTGGTAGCCATAGAACGAGAAGAAGAAGAAGAAGAAGAAGAAGAAAAAGAAGAAAAAGAAGAAGAAGAAAAGAAGAAGAAGAAGAGAAGAACATGGTCACCACTCGGCTTTAAGTTTCTAACGTGGAACATTTTCAACATTAAGGACCGTTCATACGTGCGTAAGCTCGAAAATACACACACACATATACATACACAAACATATCCAACGTTTCTGCTATATCTCTGTCTCTTTCTTTTCTTCCAACTTCATTTTCTTTAAAACTATTTTTTCTCTTTCCTTCGCTATTTCACTGGACGACCTGTTCGTACAGTGATAATGCGTGATAATTGACACAACGTATATATATATATATATATTGTAGATGTATGCATATATGTATGTACATACATATACTTACATAGACATATATACGCGTTACGTACAAGCTGACTTTGCTGTGCTGTTAAGTAGTCCCTTCGGTGAGTTGTGAAACTGTGTTACGCTATGAAATATGAGAATATAGAAAGATTTTCTTAACAGATACACCTACGATCTTAAATTTACTATAAATTCGTCTCAACATTGATTTTTTTGTGATATTTTAAGGAAGACATTTTGTCAATAAATTCTTAGTTAAAAAATATGAATATTTATCTTCGTTGTTTTTCAAAGATATTTTTACGCGAATGAAAGAGGAGTTGGTAAATTAAAAAAAGAACAAATTGCAGAAGAATACAAGAAAACTTGTTTCTCGAAACAAAGGATCCTTCGAGTTATACCACATAGACAGACCCGTTCAAAAAAGAGATAAGCACATATATATTCGTACATACACACACACACATACACATCTATGCATACATGCATATATAAGATCCGCAGACTTAGTCGAAGCGTAACTCAGCGAAGACAGGATGCATCGAGATGTTATGGTAAATATACAGCGAAAGATCTCACACCTAGGTGCGAGACCAGCCTCGGAGTTTGCCTGCGTAAACAGACGGGAGGATGGAGTTTATGTTTCTGTCTCAAATTCCTTACGTGCAGGCGCATAACTCTCCTTCGGAATGATAATGCATCGTGTAACGTTTAACGACTTCGTCAAAGACACGCTTCTTTCTCTCTCTCTCTCTCTCTCTCCCTCTCTCGATATTGATAATGTTTGCACAAACGTCGTTTTTTAGAAGATCACAGTTCGAAAAGTTTGGCAAGACGATTATCGAAGCAACCATAAGCGCCCACGAACTGGAATATCACTGTTTAAACTACGAAATATTGTTATATTTTCAATTTTCGTTGAAACTAGTAATAGAGATTTTATTAACTGCACGTTAATAGTTAACACGGTATTATCTGTATGAATGGAGAAAAAAAAGAGAGAAAATAAAATATAAATCGGGTAGAATTTAAATAGAATACAGTGGAAACTTCAGATACCAAATTTTGAAATTATTTATTCACTCAATCACTACTTTACTTACATGTGTAAGTAAACCTAATATAATAATATTGTGTATAACATTGTGTCGCGCGTTTTATTTGCATGTAAAATATTGTTCATTTCAACATTTATTTATTGACCAATCTAATAACTTGTATCAATGAATATTCTATGTGAATATTATTCGAGTGAAACATCTTTTTCTCAAAGTTATTTTGCTTGTTACCAAGACAATGTTGACTTACCAAGAGAATTTAATCCGTAATTCGTTTGATAGACCGTTTGGGAAGGACTGCTGATCGACAGACCAGAGTTACCAAGACCCAAGTTGCCAAGTGTACCGGGGCTTTGTTGACCTAATTGTCCATAAGCACCCATGCCCATACCGCCTTGTCCCAGGCCGAGACCTACAAAAGATAAGTTTATGATTAAGTATGATCTTATTCATAGTAATACAATTTACAATAAAACGGAAAGAGAGAAAGAGAGAGAGAGAGAGAGAGAGTGAGTGAGTCTTAACATTTTTATCAAATTTCGTTTTAATCGAATTAAAATGTTTTAATTGAAATAATTCATCCTACAAAAAGGCAAGCAATTTCTTTCTTGTTTTTTTTTTTCTTTATTCATCTTTTTAGTAATGTGTAGATATCGTATAGAGAAGGTATAATAAAAGACTTAAGTAATTCGAAGTTACCTTCCGTCGGTGTGAAGGAAGGAAGGAAATTAAATTAAAAGTCAAACACCGTCGTCGTCGTCGTCGTCGACTTTGCCAGTTAACTGGACTTCTTCCTATTCTTCTTCCGAATATATGAACTTTTTGCTAATTAGTTATATCGCTTGTTAAAGTGACACCTAGGAATCTCATTCTAATCACCGATATATATATATGTATGTGTGTGTGTGTATGCAATATAATATACAGATCGTAAATCTGTGTCTATCGATTAATTTATCTACACTTGGAAATTATATTAATTATCTTTCATTATAGACACTAATTAATTACTTTGTACCTACATCACGTGTTTCCTGTCATTATTTAAGCAATAATTATCAAAAAAATAATACAAACACACATGCGCGGGTAATTATAACAGTGGACAAAGTTAAAGAATTGAACAAAAACATTATTTTTATAATATAAATAATTATTAATTTATAAGTAAAATATATATATATATATACACTGCCAACTCTGATATTATTTATTGATTCAGATAATATTATACTTACAAGTGCACACAATTCAATACTATTGTATAAAACAGAACTTTTTAATTGTCCGATGACCTCATATGGGGTCGGAGAAATTCGAGTAAAATTTACAAATTTAAAAGTCTTGATATAAAACATTATAATACTGTATAGAATAGAAATTAAATGTCATAAAATAAAATATTGATATTATTATTGACACAAACCACTGTAATAATCACCGGCTCGTGTTTTTGGATAGGGTGAATAAATAATAATGAAAAAAATACGCGAGTCACAGAAAAAGATAAAGTTTTTCTTAGAAAGAAAATTATTTACTTCTGACCTGTACTCACTCCCCATCTCTCCGCGGGTGCTTGAAACATCCCAGCTCCGCAAAGATCTGGACCAAAAGGTGGCAAACCATGCGACGGTAGCAAAGTACCGGTCGCACCAAACATGTTGTTCGTTGTCTTCTTACGTTTCTTCCATTTTGCCCGACGATTTTGAAACCATACCTAAAGCATAACAATCATTCGTTAATATAATTATCAAAACAAACTGTATTCTTTTTATTCACAATAATTATGTTTATTAACTAATATGGATAAATATTGGTCAAAATTGATGTGAGAAATAATTTAAAAAAAAATATATATATTAAATCTATCTCGTGTTATATTTAATTTTTGTAAAAAATTTGAACAAATGCATCACCAGTTTTATTCGCAATAAATTTAAAGAATAGTAACCAATCTACGGTCTAGACAAGTTGGATTTTTTAAAATAAACACGTTTTTATTTTATTCCATTCTACGTTGGATTACATTAAGTTCCCATAAGATCACTAAAATCAAACAACGTGGGTACGGTTAATAAAATGGTTGTGTGATCTATTTGGGGAAATAAAAACCATTTACTATTGACTCTAAAAAGGCGGTAAAAAGATGGGCCTTTTTTGGTAGTATTGGATTGATGTAGGAAGATGTTCGTAAAGAAATGACTCGGACCCATAAAAGGGAGAGTACAAAATTGCAGTCCTTAAATTTTAATATTAATAAACATACGCACAAACATATTATTTTCTACTCCATTAAAATATAATCAAATAATTGTGCATGCGATATCAAGTAGAAAGAAGTCAAACCAATGATATTTATAATAACCTATGAATAAATAAAATAACAAAAAAATAATTTACAATCTACACAAAATTTGAAAAATAAAGAAAAATATTAAGAATTTGTTTTTTATTTATTAAATTAAAAAACTAAAGAACAAGATATAAAAAAAGATAGCAATATATATATATATATATACGTTGTGTCAATTATCACGCATTATCACTGTACGAACAGGTCGTCCAGTGAAATAGCGAAGGAAAGAGAAAAAATAGTNAAAAAACATTAAAAAAAAAAACATACTATATTTAATATACAATCTATAAAAATGAAAGAAATTAGAAGAAAAAATTCGAAAAATAAAGAAATTCGATGAATAAAATAAAAAAGTAAAAAGAAAAAAGAAATGAAAAATAAAAGGAAATTGGTTATCATCCACCACCATCACCACCAACCACCATACCACCATTCGACTAAGAATCTCGTCATCGACAGCCAGGTAAGTCTCACTCATTCGCGATGGTGAAATTTTTCTCTTTCACGCAGGTCAATGGGTCGACACGGCTCGTGAAGTGAATAACGGTTTTTCTTAGCTTCACAACTCTTCCTTTCCTCTCTTGGTTTACAACGCACGCGGTCATATAGCCGTGTTTCGCCGAATGAAAATCGAAAGTGTAAGTTAAGTTCGTACGTTCGTTCGTACGAAATGGAGAACTCGTTTTAAACTGGCACACTTGACCGATTTTTATACGCAAATCTAAATACAAATTTCAAAATCGAAATAATTCTCTTATTATTTTCACGTTTGAATTTTATTCGAAAGAAAGTTTTATTTCTTCTTAATCCCCTTTCTTTTTTTTTTTTTTATTATTCTTCTTCTTTTCTTTTTCTTTCTAGCGTTTATAATTAAATTTAATTATAGATTATGCGATTATACCGAAAAAAAAACTTCAGAGAATCGAGATTAAAGATAACGTTAAACTCGTGTTTCACACATCTCATGCGTGTGTGTCCATAAATATTATATATTATTATATTATTATATTATTATATATTATTATATTATTTATATTATATTATATTATATATTTATATTATAATATATATATATATATTTCATGAACTCATTCGTGTATTAATTCGAGAATCTCGGTAAAGATACGTTGGGCGAAACCCTCGAAATCGATATTTTCATGGCACGAAGCGCAAGAGCAAACGCTACTACCTAGTAGCAAGTATCTTTTCAGGTTCTCTTTATCGAAGCACCAACGACGATTTTTCTTCGAGTGAGTTAGCAATGGTGTTGTAGGGTGGTAAGTTGGAAGGAAAGAAACGAAGGAAGAAAGAAAGCAAGAGAATAGAAAAGGAAGAACAGATGGAAAGAAAGAGAGATAGAGATAGAGATAGAGAGAGATAGAGATAGAGAATCCAACACTAGGTGGGTAAGATGTCCCTGGGCGTTAGGACAATATCTTCGACCCCACCGCGGGTAGCTATTAGCCGACGTTATGAGCTGTTGATTCTGGCCACGTAGTGCCCTCCTAAGCTGCCGGGGTCCCAGGGACTTGATTTATTGATATCGCATGCAAAGCCCGCCTCTGTGTTCTCCGATATACCCTACCTTACCCATACCCTACCCTACCCTCCTGTTTCTCCCCACTATAGTTCCGTGCACAAGCTAGAGTCCCTTTCCTGGCACAGTAGCGCGTACTATAGTCGTCTCATATGTGCCCATAAATTAGTACTTTAGCGTTGGAGTACATTGCGCAGACGCAGCCTCACCAACGAATCATACACACACACACACATACAATCACTGAGAGTAAGAGAGAGAGAGAGAGAGTGAGCGAGAGAATGAAGGGGGATCGCAGAAGCTAGAGACACCCTCTCTGCTAACGTGCACGGATTATACGAATCTAATTGGATATATGGGGTTTACACGTTCTAGCCTGCTTTAGGTATTGCCACGACCACCAAAACGATCGCTTTTTGGATTCCAAGAATCCAAGAACCTTTGACATATATTTTTCTTTTCAATCTTTAATTTATCTAACGTAGTAAAAGTAGGAAGTTTAGATACGAGTCGTCTTAGTATATCTCCCTTGATCAATCCTAACATCTGTTCTATTGAATACTTTGTAGTTCTATCATCTCAATCACTCTTTCTTTTTCTTATCATCAAGAATACGAATGGATGGATGATTGTGACGAGGTAATGGCATTAGAACAAGACTCTGTTAAGTGCATTTCTGCTGAAATCATTTAGGCTATGTGTCACAGCTACGATTTCAAGTTTTCTTCAACCCCTTCTCTCTTTCTCTCTCTCTCTCTCTCTTTCTGTTACTCATTCATTCCACAAACCACACGTTTACATCCACGTCGATATTGTTAACTACATCCTATATGTAACGCATTTACAACAGTAACCATTCTTCAATTCGTTATTTGGTAATTCGTAATTAAAGTTAGTTACATTTACCAAACACTCAAAGAGACAAACTAATGTAATTAAATTTTCGCTGAAATCAATATTCAATGAATCTGTACACGTGTGTGTGTGTGTGTGTGTGTGTGTGTGTGTGTGTCTATATATGATTAACAGTTTATTATAATGAATTAATTTAATCATTCCAACGAATTTAGTTAGTAAAACAAATTCTTGTCAATTTCCTTGATTTATTATAGAAAAGACAAGAACATTCGTACATCATTTATAGGTATTATTGTTTTGTATTTAATGTATTTGTATATGTGTACGTGCAATATGTGCACGTGTATGTAATAGAACGTTATCATCTATTTCATTCGAACATTCCAGTGAATTTCATTAGAAGAAAACATTGTCATATTTTTTCTCGATTATGAAAAGACAAGAATATTCATACACCACCTTTGGGTTTAGGTGTGGTTGTTACACTGATTTCACGCTAGAACTATGGCTAAAAGCCCGTGGATAATTCGCCGTTACACGCCGAGTGAGCATCAGTGATACAACCCATGCGAGGGAAAAAAACACGAGGGAGGCGTGATATACATATACGCATACACATACAAACAAACACATAAATAGTTATATATATATATATATGCAGTATAGAGTCAGAAACGAACGTTTATATATCTCATATTATCACATATACTACATATACTATTTTCAATACCATCGCATCGTAGTTGCATCGTTGCAAGCACGTATGTAGAAGTACGTGCGGAACTTCCGCTAATTAACGCAGCCATACGCTAATGATTCCTGTTACGAAATAACTGCCTGCGAACGAGAGCTTTCGACGAGCAGGACCTACATGTAATATATCGTTAAGTTACGGCCCGAATTAGCGACTCAATTTCTTTTTTTCTTTTTTTTTTTTTTTTTTCTTCTTCCCCGCTTTATTCTTTTCGTTCATTTTATTCCTTTTAGTTTTATCATGGTGTTTCAGTATTTTGTTGTTTCTTTTCTTTTCGAGATGCGATACGCGCAAAATTCGATGAAAGATGAAAACGAAATATTATATACCTATATAGGCTCGTATTTAAAAATAGATATTTGAACATATTCTAATAATACTTTCGACAGGGTGAATAGTGAAAGACGAATATAAATGTTTGGCGATCCATTTGATCGCTATCAATCCATTTGATTTGACAATATTATTAATAGAATTAATATCGTCGTTTAATTTAAGATCATATTTAATTCACTAAGATAAATTCTATTTATTATCTTTATGATCTTACTACACGAAAAATTAATTTTCCTATTAATAGTGAAACGTTATTCGCGTAAGATATATTATCTCACCTTGTTTTTTTTATAACTAAAAAACATTAAAGTAATATCTTAATTCTCTCGTTTGAGTTGTTTAATGTGATAGGATTAGTCAGCATTCCGAGAGATTTCTAAGGATATTCATGTACAAGTAGTAGATGTGAGTAAAAGAGAAGAATATTAAATGGGAGAGGTTGGAGAACACAACTGCTTCGAAAGAATCGAACGAACACACCTTTCGTTAGATGACTAAGGTTTAACTTCGAGGTTAGAAAAAGACCCCTTTTTCAATGATGAATACTATGTTATCTATCTCTTTCTTTCTTTCTCTTTTGTGGATCGGATCGAATCGAGCGGTCAATTAGGAACATTGCTTTTTAAAAATTGATCAATCACCGCATAGTACTTGGCAAGGCGCGTGCGCCATGCCAGCTGTTCCCAGGAAGCACCTGGAATCACGGCGTGGGTGGAAACGGACGTGCCGTTTTCGAGTAATCACTATTGTCTCTCTCTCTCTCTCTCTCTCTCTCTCTTTCTCTCTCTTTATCTCTCTTTTTCTGTTAACGATCCGTGCCACGGATTTGTGGGTTGAAATTTGTATTTAACAAATATTTATTTCAATTGTTTATAG